GAGGAACTGTTCTTTTTCTCTGTTTAATGATGGAATTCTTTCAGTGCCGTTTTTGCTGCTAATTTCTGACTTTGTGCTGGCTTTCTGTTCCTGTTACAGACCTGTTGTTTTTTGAGTGCTTGTTCTTGCAGGCCGTCCCTTCCTGTTCTGCATGGCAACTGTCATTTTGCCCTATTCAATGCCATAATCCTTACACTGCTGTTTTTGATGTTAACTTTTTGGGTCTGACATCTAGTGCCATACGGCTTTCCATTCTCGTTCCTGTTCCTGCAAGCAAATGCGGATATTTTCGATGGACATAAAGAGCAACCATGCAGTTAAGGCGGCGCTCACCGTTGAGGTCGTGGAGTGGGTCATAGCATCCTTCCTCCTCAGCCACAAAGAAGCGATCGCAGTCCAGGAAGTAAGGCCAGGCCATCTGGATGGCCTCGAAGGCGTGGACGCAGCGCTTGCGTGTGGCCTCGCAGACGCGCCGGCATGGCTTCAACACCTTGTCGGCCTCACAGCGTGGCGCCAGCACAGCGCAGCCGAGCATGCGTGCCTCCTGGTGGCACTCGCCGCCCAGCAGCGTTTCCAGCACGCTCAGGAGGAGGTACTCCACGCCGCTCTCAGCCTCCAGGCGGCTGCTGTGGCCCAGGATGTTGGGGTAGAGCGTGTGTGTGTACGCCATGTTGTCGCAGTACGACAGCTGCATCTCCTCGCATTTGGCTGGAGTACAAAAATCAAACGGCAGCGATGGAAAATCGTCAACATTGTTTCAAGTGAAATTCAGCATTGTAAACCATTTATTAGACAATATTTTGTGACTTTTTAAAATCTCGCAGTTGACAAATACTCTATATAGTTAAAAAAATAAAACCAATACAAAAACTAATAAAAACAAATTACCCCACAGCATTTCGCCCGCCAAAAACTAGTCAAATGAATCAATTTCTGCTAAAAAAAAAGAAGTAAAATAAACTTAATTTAGAAAACAAATGTCAAAATTAAATTTAGTAAAAAAATGACAACTAAAAAAAAAAAAGACAAAGAAAAATCCAAAATTAATATAACTATGATGTACATACAAGTCGTACGTGTTTCTCCACCTCACACCCCAACAGAGTGTGTCGATATATGCTACAAATAGAGTGTGTGTCACGACAGGTCTAGGAAGCTATGTCATACAAAAAAGTGAATGTCGCATGTAAAAAAGCCGAGCCAAACAGTGTACCATGTGTACCAGCTGTATGCCCTATGCAGCATTTTGAAGATGAGCCTGGCGCTGCTGAAAATGAGAATGTGAACATTCCCTGCAGCCGTGAATCATCGAAAAATGCGACACAGGCCAGATGGCTTTTTACTCCACATTCCATCAGTGTGACTTATTGTTTGGAAATACTGTATGTCTTGAAAGCTCCTCCTTGGAAGAGTTTAACACTCACGTTTTTCTTCCACGATTGGCTTGCAGTGACCTGGAAGATATATAGGCAGTCAGAACGCATTTTCTTTGTCAAATGAACACCATGGCACCAGTAGTAGAGTTGAGTTGAGATGGCAACTTTTTTTAGCAGCATGTGTGTGTTTTTTTTCCATGAAAAGGTTGCTCTTGCAAAACCACCTTGTTGTTACAAAACCTTTTTTACAAGTAAAATTCAAAGTTATCATTCATGACACCTTGTAAGATTCTGAGTTAATTTTGTTCAAATCCAATACAAGAAATACCACAACCCCTCCCCAAACATTACGAAATATGATATAATACGAACACTTAACCTTCCACGGCTGTTTTTTTCCTTCTTTTTTTTAACTTTGTGGGCCGGAAATTAGGAAAAAGTCTCCAAAATACATAATACAAAGTAAGGTATAACATGACGTCCAAAGCCCGGCCAAGGAAATAGTCCTTCGGTCCATTGTTGACTATTAATTGGACCTGGGGTAAGTTTTTGATTGTGCAAAACCTGTAAAAGTCTACTGGAAGGTTCGAGGAGGACGCCAGGAAACACAACCACGGTGCATTTTGACGCAGCATGCAAGCGTTATGGAATGAGTGGTATGCGCTTCAAAATGACAAACCAAAACAAAACAAAAACTTTACCTCGAATCTGCGTGTCACATCGTGGAGGTAAAGCCGTCACCAGCACGGCGCTGAGAATTTGCAGCGCAACGAGGAGCATGATGCGCATTTTCCACATTTTGTGTTCCAGCGATGTGGCAACACCGACCCCCTCTGCCCCCCCCCCACCTCTGCGCCCCCTCCCACCCTCCAAAAAAAAAAATCTCCTTCGTGAGCACGACTTTATTCCAACCTCCACGGCCTTGATATCAAGTTACAAGCGCCACACAATGTTTTAAGGCCAAGTTAAAACCCACCAGCAACTAACTAGTTGGGAATTCCGAGCCCCGTTATTGGCTGGCTGACAGGTGATGCGTCGTAAAGTCAAACCGCTGTCGTAACGTTTGAGTTTGGTCACCTGATGTCGCGTCAGCCAATAGGACGCGTCTTCAAGTATTTGCTTGAATTTTATGTTGTCAAGTACAAATACTTTTTGTTACTGACTTTTGTTCTCATTTGGGTTGAGAAACCACCAGTGAAATCGAATATTCAAACTAATCATTTTACTCAACGTTTTTGTTATGAGAGGTGAAACAGTGGATTTTTTTCCCTCATGTAAATGTGTTTGCAAGAAAATCAAACTTTGTACAGTAGCTCTGTAGACTGCAGTAATAATTGTTCATTTTAGAGGATAAAGAATATATAATAATAGTCAGTACTATTATATTGTCTGTCTACATGTGTCTCTCCAACTGACTGTTTTCAAATATTTGTTGAGTTCCATCATACAACTTTTCCCATTATGTGTTAGCAGTGAGCCAGCAGCATTTACAGCAATGTTTTTTTTCATTGTTTTAAATGTAGAAGTTGGGGTTCTCTTCAAACCAGACAGCTATTGGTATCACTATGATATAAAAAAAGGTGTGTGGTTGTCAAAACCTACAAAATTGTTTTTCCTCCGTGCACAGTGCAATAGCGTAGTAGACCGAAGTGTGGAAGTGGTCATGCTGGCCAGAATCTTGCTGTATATCAAACACTTAATGTTGATCCCTAGTGGCGGTCCATGGCGACAAAATGAAGAAGCTTGGCCAACCTGGGGAGTACAACAACTGTGCAGCTCAGATCGGGACAGTAAAACGGACTATGTTGTTTTTGTGGCTCCAGTGTCCAATGTAAGTAGGTGTTAGTATGGACTATGATGCTCCTATGACGTCAGATATAGCGTATGAAATAATATGTTGAAGATTTTTGAGTAGTTTAAGTAACAGTAGTGAGTAAAAGAAAGAAAGAACGAAAAACAGAAAGAAAGAAAGAAAGAAAACAAAAGAAAACTATTATAAATGATAAACAATTATATTATATTGTTTCTTTCAATGGCGGCCTTTATCTGAAGACAAGCATTTTCTTTGGTTTTCAAATTCAAAACAAATGAAACTAAAAAGCAACGAGAGCCTTTCCACCTTCCTGGGGGCGTGGTGTGCTCAAGACAGTGGGCGTGGTCAGCGGTGACCTGTTATTGATTGACAGCTGGGACGCTTAAAGCCCCAGGAGCGAAGCTGAGCTCACTAAGTACGTGGGACGTCCCAGGAGTGACTGCCAGCCCCCTAAATCACAACTGCCAAGGTAAATAAAAAGAATTGAATTCCGTTTGACTTGTTGAAAGATGATATTATTTATAGGCGTCCCTAAATTCTGCACACAATTGACAGCAACATAGAATCATCTTTCCATCATTGCAAATTAAGTTATTTGTTAATATTCCAAATCATAAAATCTTGAAAATGTCATTCATGAAAATATGTATTTTTGTATTCATCTTTTAGAGACACTCTGTGGAATTGTTTGTCAATCCTAATTCTCGCCCCCTCCCACCCTCCAAAAAAAAAAATCTCCTTCGTGAGCACGACTTTATTCCAACCTCCACGGCCTTGATATCAAGTTACAAGCGCCACACAATGTTTTAAGGCCAAGTTAAAACCCACCAGCAACTAACTAGTTGGGAATTCCGAGCCCCGTTATTGGCTGGCTGACAGGTGATGCGTCGTAAAGTCAAACCGCTGTCGTAACGTTTGAGTTTGGTCACCTCTGCGCCCCCTCCCACCCTCCAAAAAAAAAAATCTCCTTCGTGAGCACGACTTTATTCCAACCTCCACGGCCTTGATATCAAGTTACAAGCGCCACACAATGTTTTAAGGCCAAGTTAAAACCCACCAGCAACTAACTAGTTGGGAATTCCGAGCCCCGTTATTGGCTGGCTGACAGGTGATGCGTCGTAAAGTCAAACCGCTGTCGTAACGTTTGAGTTTGGTCACCTGATGTCGCGTCAGCCAATAGGACGCGTCTTCAAGTATTTGCTTGAATTTTATGTTGTCAAGTACAAATACTTTTTGTTACTGACTTTTGTTCTCATTTGGGTTGAGAAACCACCAGTGAAATCGAATATTCAAACTAATCATTTTACTCAACGTTTTTGTTATGAGAGGTGAAACAGTGGATTTTTTTCCCTCATGTAAATGTGTTTGCAAGAAAATCAAACTTTGTACAGTAGCTCTGTAGACTGCAGTAATAATTGTTCATTTTAGAGGATAAAGAATATATAATAATAGTCAGTACTATTATATTGTCTGTCTACATGTGTCTCTCCAACTGACTGTTTTCAAATATTTGTTGAGTTCCATCATACAACTTTTCCCATTATGTGTTAGCAGTGAGCCAGCAGCATTTACAGCAATGTTTTTTTTCATTGTTTTAAATGTAGAAGTTGGGGTTCTCTTCAAACCAGACAGCTATTGGTATCACTATGATATAAAAAAAGGTGTGTGGTTGTCAAAACCTACAAAATTGTTTTTCCTCCGTGCACAGTGCAATAGCGTAGTAGACCGAAGTGTGGAAGTGGTCATGCTGGCCAGAATCTTGCTGTATATCAAACACTTAATGTTGATCCCTAGTGGCGGTCCATGGCGACAAAATGAAGAAGCTTGGCCAACCTGGGGAGTACAACAACTGTGCAGCTCAGATCGGGACAGTAAAACGGACTATGTTGTTTTTGTGGCTCCAGTGTCCAATGTAAGTAGGTGTTAGTATGGACTATGATGCTCCTATGACGTCAGATATAGCGTATGAAATAATATGTTGAAGATTTTTGAGTAGTTTAAGTAACAGTAGTGAGTAAAAGAAAGAAAGAACGAAAAACAGAAAGAAAGAAAGAAAGAAAACAAAAGAAAACTATTATAAATGATAAACAATTATATTATATTGTTTCTTTCAATGGCGGCCTTTATCTGAAGACAAGCATTTTCTTTGGTTTTCAAATTCAAAACAAATGAAACTAAAAAGCAACGAGAGCCTTTCCACCTTCCTGGGGGCGTGGTGTGCTCAAGACAGTGGGCGTGGTCAGCGGTGACCTGTTATTGATTGACAGCTGGGACGCTTAAAGCCCCAGGAGCGAAGCTGAGCTCACTAAGTACGTGGGACGTCCCAGGAGTGACTGCCAGCCCCCTAAATCACAACTGCCAAGGTAAATAAAAAGAATTGAATTCCGTTTGACTTGTTGAAAGATGATATTATTTATAGGCGTCCCTAAATTCTGCACACAATTGACAGCAACATAGAATCATCTTTCCATCATTGCAAATTAAGTTATTTGTTAATATTCCAAATCATAAAATCTTGAAAATGTCATTCATGAAAATATGTATTTTTGTATTCATCTTTTAGAGACACTCTGTGGAATTGTTTGTCAATCCTAATTCTAAAACATACAAAATGGACTGCACGCGTGTGCGTTGTACAACGTGGTACATGAGTTCATGATCAGTAAAAGTCATTTAAATGAACAGCGCGTTCAAAAAGAGGGAACCCTTTATTTGTGTTTTGCACTTAATCTCTGGTTTTGTGATGGCATGTGACAGTTGGAGTTTAATGGGGACAACACACATCACACACACACACACACACACACACACACACACACACACACACACACACACACACACACACACACACACACACGCTCAGTGGCCATTTGGGATTAAACATCACTGTCTCATTTGAGATTAATCCACCTCCCACCCCCCTCCACAAACACGTTTGCACTTCTATTCTTGTGAGGGCAACATGGTGGTCACCTCCCACTGACCAAATGAGAAGCCCACTGGCCTATTCTTGAAATAGCTAAGCAGTCATGGGACATTGTGATTTCCTTGACATGCTGTGGAAGTGATCATTTGTAGACACTTGATGGTGTTTCTCTCACAGGCAGCGGACAGCCGGCGACTGTTCCATTGCTGGGGTTGCTTAAAAGGATTTCTTGGAGTTGGGAATTCATTGAATGTCCCGGAACACTGTGGGTGGGTCCTGCCCGTTTTCCTGTTTACATGTGGCTGCTGCCGATCTCTTGTTGCTGTTTAGGACAATTTAGTAGGGAGGCGGTGTGATTTTTTTTTTTTTCTATTTTAATCCTGTCCAGAATGATGAAGTGCAGCGTGTGTCTTGAGATACAAACGAGCCAATTTACAAGCTTTTCGATATATGAGCCATTGTTCGGACACATTTTTTCTCTTTGAGGAGAAGATTGAGATATGATTGCTGGCAGTTAAAGTTTACCATCAAACTAAATTTAAAACAAAGAGTTGTGCGTTTAATTTTGCCTTTAAGTCGGATGTCTTAATGCTAACACATGATAGGAAACACCATAGATGGGATAACGAATAGCATCTACAGTATGTCTTGGCTTTAAGCAACGGATATTTGAACACAATCGATGCAGCAACACAGAGAGAAATTAGAGACCTATTTTCTTGGAAAAATATTTGATTGGCAAATGTCGAAGTACCACCTCGTACTTTGCAATCTGCAGCAGAGACCAACTCGTGTGTACCATTGATGGATGATCAGCATTGGAATCAGCAGCATAAAACCCTGATCAGATACTGTATATCCATGCTCATACACATTCCCAATATTTAGCGGTTGATCCTGGACTGAGAGCAACGGCCGGATCCCCGCCTTTCCCCCGCAACATGCCTTAGCCATCCGAGCACAAGTCAGGATGATGGCCTCGGCCGTAGCCGGCAGCGACCGCAGGAAGTCGCTGACGCTGCGAGGAGTGGACCCAGAGACGTGCATGATTGTGTTTAAGAATCACTGGGCGCAGGTGAGCGTGGAGTGGCAAATAGTCTCGGGGTCATGTGATGGCTACTCCAATTCACCGGGTTTCCTTGGCCTTTAGGTAGTGAAGATCTTAGAGAAACATGAGCCAGGGCGCGGCGGCACCAGCGCACTGAGTTTCCTCTCAGGTCACACTGGAAGCAGCGGCGCCCGCCTCGGGTCCATCCCGGCCGATGAGGCCAGTGCTGTTCAGAACTACGTGGAACACATGCTGTTCCTGCTCATGCAGGAGGAGGCAGGACAAGGTGAGAGCCAAAGCAATCCATCTTTCAAGAATTAACAAATTGTCAATGAACTGACGAACGTGCGCATTTTTATGGCAGGCGGATTTCACATTTAAATGTCAACATTTAAGTTTGGCTATCTGGAATTAACATTAAAATTGTCTTCCTGACTCAACAAGATTACATTTTGATTAGCTGGAATTTTCATTCAAAATATCTGTAACATTATTGTGGCTAGTCAAAATGAAGTCAAGTCCAGTTTCTTGGATATCAAGTCGAAGTCAAGTCAAGGCTTTCCGAAGTTTTATGACTCGAGTCTCCAAACGCAGCTGTGAACATACATGCTGCTGATCCTAATCCTCAGGAGGAGCAATGGGTCCCATTTTGGAGTTTGTGGTTCTGGAGGGTGTGATGGAGCGCCTTTTCCTGTGGAGCTTGAGGCGACAGTTCACCGAGGACATGAAACTGGAGCAGCTCAGGATGTACCAGATGCTCCTGACCCAGGCCCAGCAGCCCCTCCTGCACCACAAGCCACTGCTGCGGCCGCTCATGACACTGCTGGCCTCCTGTGGCGGCGCTGGCGCAGGTACGATACGTTACGTCGCCTCGGTAGAATCGACCCCTCGGTTGACTGCCTTGACTTTTTTTAGACGCAGGCGGCTGCGTAGAGGCAGAGCTGGTCCTCCTGTTGAACCAGCTGTGCGCGGCTCTGGTGAAGGACCCCTCAGTGTTGGAATTGTTCTTCCACACCAGCGAGGATCAGGGCGCCGCCAACTTCCTGCTCTTCTCCCTGCTCATCCCGTACACACACAGGTTCTTGAACACACGCACGCTGAGTGAAAACCATTTCAAGCATTCCACACTGAAAGTCACCTTCCACTCTCCCAGACAAGGTCCGGTAGGTCAGCAGGCCCGAGAAGCTCTTCTGCTCATCATGTCGCTTTCGGCCTCGGAACCTCGCGTGGCCCAGCATATTGCCCAGAACACGTACTTCTGCCCTGTAAGTCCCCCCCCCATGCACACAACCTACATTCTCCATGAGCAAACAACACCGCCACAGCAACTCAAAGGTGTGCGTGGCGAATTCTCATTTGATCAAAGAACCTCGACTACCAGTAAAACGCAAATGAGTTAGTTGGTGAACATTTTTATGATCCAAGGATACAACGTTGTTGGTGTTGAGTGAGGCGGCGGTGTTCATTTTGATTTCACAGCCATGCGTTATGTAACAACCAAACGAGCTCAAGGCATTTGGTTAGGGGGAAAATTACTTCCGGTAAAAATTTTGGAGGTGCCGGGAGGGCTCCATGCCACCTCAGGAAAAAGTGTTTGTTTACAGCAAATAGCAGGCCATGTTGCCTCTATCATGAATGAATGATTCACTCATTCCTACCTCCCTAATGATTATGTTTATGTTTATTCATTTATTTAGTTTAGCCATTCCGTCACTGTGTTTGGAATCATTCATCCATTCCCTACTCAATGATCACTATTACGGGCTTTTAAGTGCGATTTTTTTTTTCATGATCCACATACTTATAAAAATTAAAAAAACGCATAGTGTTTGACGAGTACTAGCATGCCTTCAGATTTATGTCCATGTGACCATGCTGACCTCAATCTTCTTGTGGAGAGGAGATTAGTAAATCAGCACGAGATTGGCCGCCAGTCCAAAGCGGGATTAGTAAATCCGCTGCGTGTGAATGGAACAGCATTGCTACCACTGACGCCGCTCGTGTTTTGATCTGCGCTTGAATCTGTGGCTCCCCCTCTTTCCAGAGATGAAGGAATCAAAACTAAAATCACCCTCCTGTTTCTTTCCCGCATAATCCGCTCCTGAATTTTGGTTGAGGTGCTCAGTTTTTTGTTGTGACCCACATTCACTTTAAAACATGGGTGTCAAACTCAAGACCCGGGGGTAGAGATCTGGCCCACCACTTAAACAAACTTGAAATCTGGACCAAAATGACAGATTGTCTTCAGTTTTATTAATGTTGCTTTGCCAGTGATTTAGCAGCGAATGTCGTAAATGTCAAACTGTGTACTGGTGCAGGTTCTGGCCACAGGTCTTTCTGGTCTCTACTCCTCTCTGCCAGCTAGGTTGCAGGTTTACAGCGAAGACTGGCACTGTCTGGACCAACCCGACTGGCAACAGGTAACCATGACAACTGTACACAGAGAGTGCAACACCGTGAGGGGCATTATTGCGTATGAGCGAATAATGCCAATGTTCCGCATTTCGACAGGTTCCGGCTCTTGTCCACTTCCTGCACTCGCTGGGCTTCTGCAGCGCCGTCACCAGCGTAATGCGCCAACCTTCACACAAACTCTTCTAGTCTTAAAAAGACAATAACATCGTTCTTCATTCTAACCTTCCCTCAGGTAACTCATCCTTCTATCCGCTCCCAGCTGCTGAGTTACATCCACAATGGGTTCCTGGTGCCTGTGCTCGCCCCTGCTCTCCATAAGGTATACAAAAACATCCGTAATTCTAAGCCGTACAAGTTTTGAAAGTGTTATCTGCGCGTCTGTGTACAGCTGACTGTGGAGGAGGTCATGACAACTACAGCTTACCTGGACTTGTTCTTACGCTCCATCACTGAGCCTGCACTCCTGCAGACCTTCCTGTCCTTCATACTGCTGCACACTCACGACAACGTGCATATCCTGGACACGTTGGTCAGCAGAGTCAACACACCTTTTCAGGTAACGCACCTGACATGCCGCTGAAAGCAGATCCAAATCAAAGACATGATCTCGTCTCGGTGCTCCTCAGCTAGGCACGGTGTCGCTGGCTCTATTCAGGACGCTCATCAGTCTCTTCTGCGAGGACGTCATGCTGCAGCTCGTTTTCAGGTCAGCTCGATGGTAAAAAAAAAGAACTATGGCATTGCAGGATACAGATAGCTGTTTTGTTGAATGACATTAGGATTATGAGGGGGGGTCCTTGGGAAAAACATGTTCTGGTGAAGGATCCCTGGAACCCTGATTTTTAAAGAATGCCTGCTTTAGGGGATTACAGTACAGATCACTTGATTACCTGAGTGTCGTGTGTCCTCAGGTTCTTAATTGCTTGCACCCACCTGAGCAGGAAGCAGTGGTCCTCATTAAAGCACAAGGCCTGGTGCTCCACGAGTGCCGCCTCCTTCCTGCTCCTCATGCCCTCTTGGTGCCCCGTCCACCTGCCGAACAGAAATGGAGCCTCAGAACACATCCACTGGCCCAAAGGAGCAGGTGATGCATTGTTTGATGATGATGTGGTGTCAGTGAGTCCCATCACATATTTGAACTTGGCTCTGTGGTGGTCAGATGTGTCAGTGGCTGAAAGCATTGGTTATTGGCGAGGCTCAGACTTCCGAATGGAAGTCAACTACCTCCATTACCTCTCAGATGCCCGACAAGCCATCGGCGCCTCGAAAAGGTCAGTGGATCCTCCTGATAGCAACGATACAAAATGATTGCTTGAGCACCATCTGGTGGCAACCTGGTCCCAAGAAACTTAAGCATGTTGATATGGGAGGAGCTTAATTTAGTTTAAAGACAAACAATGATGTGCAACCATCCTGTGGCACATGGTGCCATACAAATGATTATAACTTGCCTTGCATGTTGATATGGGAGGAGCTTAATTTAGTTTAAATACAAACAGTGATGTGCAACCATCCTGTGGCACACGGTGCCATACAAATGATTATAACTTGCCTTACTAATAACATCGTGGTGTCCCTCAGGGCGTGTCGGCACTGGTCGGCGCCTTATGACGGACACAATCCGCCACCTGTCCAAGAACAACCTCTCACATTGAATGGATCAAATGAGGATAACATGGAACGGCAACCAAAAAGTGACTCTGTTGGTGCCTCCCCGACCTCTTGCTCCATGGACGTTGTCTCCAAGAGTAACCAGGCAGGAAGAACCAGCTCTGCTCTAGAGCTTGAGTGGGATGACCTTTTTGCGGATGAGGATCTATCGTCTTCATTTGGTGGCTCTTTTGCACCTCTACCACCCTTACCCCCTCGCCACATCCAAGAGATGCGACGCAGCGCCATCAAGCTGGTGCACGGCGCCTATGTGGAAGAGGGTGAATTTGAGAAGGATGTTCTGGTCTATGATCTGGTCGCCCAAAAAGATGCCACTGCTGCTATTTTGGAACGAATGATGGCAGCCAATCGAGGACCACGTGGAGACGGCGTCTCCTCTGTGACAACAGGAAGGACAATACATGAAACCGTTAACTGCATTATGTCATCACGGAGGACGAGTGAGGAAGGAGGAAAGGAGGAAATAAGGGGTGAGGACCATGGAAACAAATCGAGGCAAAGCGAGGACATCAGTGATTGCGTTACTGACATTTGTAATGCAGACTGCATCCCGGACGCACAAAATCACACTTCACTCAACGGTCATTCATTGATGACAAACACAGACTCCACATGTCACAACAAAGTTCCTGGTAACAACGGCAACTTCCTGTCCCAGTACCATGAGCTAATGCGCTCTTTAGGGGCAGAGCCGGAGTGCGACAGCATACTGGATGACATTTCCACCTTTAGGAGGCGGATTCAAGAACTGAAGCAAAGACTGATAGAGGAAGATTGTGAAGATGGAAAGGAAACGGTTGAGGAGCTGTTGGAGGAGGAGGAAGAAGAAGATGGAGCGAGGCAGAGTGTTCCATTTACAGGTGGGTTCACAGACCATGACAGAACACAACACTCCAGGTGGAAAATAGTAAGCAACATCTATAGGGAGAGCCATCTACCTGTATAAGAGCTAGGGCACATTAATTGTTCACGGTCAGCTCACCCAAGTGTTCTCAGCCTATGTTGGTCAGTTCACCATCTTGCTGGCTTGCTCCAATTACACTTACATCCTCACTGAAGACTCGTTGTTGGATTATTTCGGCAAATTCCTTCAACGAATCTCACTCTCACTCACACTAACCTCCCACAGGGCCCTTTATCAGTGTCCTTCTGTCCCGTCTGGAGAATCTACTGGAGAACTCTATCGCCGTCAACCTGCTGGTGACAGGCATCCTCGCTCAGCTAGCGTCGTACCCGCAACCTCTGTTGACAGTGTTCCTGCTTGACACAGAAACACACCAACAGGCTGGTGTGTGTACACTGCACCAGGTAACATGCACTCATGGTGCATGTCAAATGACCTGATTATGACCCGACTTGCGAGTTTTTAAAAATACGAGTCATAGTTTGGCCGATCATTTACTTTGACTTGCGAGTGCAAGCTTGAGATATGAACGCTGTATGGTGGCAGTGAATTCAACTCACTTCACAAACTACACAAACCAACTGTGGACCAACCTATAGACAGACAATGTAACAATACTCACAGGCATATCTTCTTCACCGACATGTTAACCATTGACCCAATGCATTTAAGATCTTTTTCATAGATAAGGATTTCAATTCAACGGAGCCGTCCACCTGCCGAACAGAAATGGAGCCTCAGAACACATCCACTGGCCCAAAGGAGCAGGTGATGCATTGTTTGATGATGATGTGGTGTCAGTGAGTCCCATCACATATTTGAACTTGGCTCTGTGGTGGTCAGATGTGTCAGTGGCTGAAAGCATTGGTTATTGGCGAGGCTCAGACTTCCGAATGGAAGTCAACTACCTCCATTACCTCTCAGATGCCCGACAAGCCATTGGCGCCTCGAAAAGGTCAGTGGATCCTCCTGATAGCAACGATACAAAATGATTGCTTGAGCACCATCTGGTGGCAACCTGGTCCCAAGAAACTTAAGCATGTTGATATGGGAGGAGCTTAATTTAGTTTAAATACAAACAGTGATGTGCAACCATCCTGTGGCACACGGTGCCATACAAATGATTATAACTTCCTGACTAATAACATCGTGGTGTCCCTCAGGGCGTGTCGGCACTGGTCGGCGCCTTATGACGGACACAATCCGCCACCTGTCCAAGAACAACCTCTCACATTGAATGGATCAAATGAGGATAACATGGAACGGCAACCAAAAAGTGACTCTGTTGGTGCCTCCCCGACCTCTTGCTCCATGGACGTTGTCTCCAAGAGTAACCAGGCAGGAAGAACCAGCTCTGCTCTAGAGCTTGAGTGGGATGACCTTTTTGCGGATGAGGATCTATCATCTTCATTTGGTGGCTCTTTTGCACCTCTACCACCCTTACCCCCTCGCCACATCCAAGAGATGCGACGCAGCGCCATCAAGCTGGTGCACGGCGCCTATGTGGAAGAGGGTGAATTTGAGAAGGATGTTCTGGTCTACGATCTGGTCGCCCAAAAAGATGCCACTGCTGCTATTTTGGAACGAATGATGGCAGCTAATCGAGGACCACGTGGAGACGGTGTCTCCTCTGTGACAACAGGAAGGACAATACATGAAACCGTTAACTGCATTATGTCATCACGGAGGACGAGTGAGGAAGGAGGAAAGGAGGAAATAAGGGGTGAGGACCATGGAAACAAATCGAGGCAAAGCGAGGACATCAGTGATTGCGTTACTGACATTTGTAATGCAGACTGCATCCCGGACGCACAAAATCACACTTCACTCAACGGTCATTCATTGATGACAAACACAGACTCCACATGTCACAACAAAGTTCCTGGTAACAACGGCAACTTCCTGTCCCAGTACCATGAGCTAATGCGCTCTTTCGGGGCAGAGCCGGAGTGCGACAGCATACTGGATGACATTTCCACCTTTAGGAGGCGGATTCAAGAACTGAAGCAAAGACTGATAGAGGAAGATTGTGAAGATGGAAAGGAAACGGTTGAGGAGCGGTTGGAGGAGGAGTAAGAAGAAGATGCAGCGAGGCAGAGTGTTCCATTTACAGGTGGGTTCACAGACCATGACAGAACACAACACTCCAGGTGGAAAATAGTAAGCAACATCTATAGGGAGAGCCATCTACCTGTATAAGAGCTAGGGCACATTAATTGTTCACGGTCAGCTCACCCAAGTGTTCTCAGCCTATGTTGGTCAGTTCACCATCTTGCTGGCTTGCTCCAATTACACTTACATCCTCACTGAAGACTCGTTGTTGGATTATTTCGGCAAATTCCTTCAACGAATCTCACTCTCACTCACACTAACCTCCCACAGGGCCCTTTATCAGTGTCCTTCTGTCCCGTCTGGAGAATCTACTGGAGAACTCTATCGCCGTCAACCTGCTGGTGACAGGCATCCTCGCTCAGCTAGCATCGTACCCGCAACCTCTGCTGACAGCGTTCCTGCTTGGCACAGAAACACACCAACAGGCTGGTGTGTGTACACTGCACCAGGTAACATGCACTCATGGTGCATGTCAAATGACCTGATTATGACCCGACTTGCGAGTTTTTAAAAATACGAGTCATAGTTTGGCCGATCATTTACTTTGACTTGCGAGTGCAAGCTTGAGATATGAACGCTGTATGGTGGCAGTGAATTCAACTCACTTCACAAACTACACAAACCAACTGTGGACCAACCTATAGACAGACAATGTAACAATACTCACAGGCATATCTTCTTCACCGAC